TGGAGTTCTTGAGTCGCTTTCTCCCTTTTCCCTTGTACCGGCTTTGTATTTCTTTCCAGGACTGGCTATCGTATTTACTGTATTTAACCTTTTTCTCATATTCGTGTGAATGATAGAACGTCTATTATACACGAAGGCCTCCCGACCCCGAAGCACTAGCTTCGTAGGCGCATGGTAAACTTTTGTTGTTCTTACTTTTGTTGAGTCTTCTTTTAAAAGGTTCAAGCTACATCAGGGACCCTAAAACTACTACCCCCCACCCCCCGCTCCTTCTCCGACATTCTTAACTGAAAAAGTATTTGAATTGTTCAGCCTTGGGGACGATGTGTGGCAAAGAAAAGTAATCGAGCTTTTATTAGACATGTGTTAATCAATTTCATTTTTATGTCTGGTTTATCAAGGGGCATTTCTTTTTAAACATCAAACAAGGAAAGAAACTGGACTTGTAAACGTTTCCTATGTCCCTTCAAACATTTTGCTCCCTCCGATTGACGTCCCGTCAGTGATCAATGCAGGCTTTCGGACGCTACTCCTCGGTGTTGTTTGCCAGACAAGCCGCAGCGGTGGTGGTGGTGGCGGCGGCGGCAGAAGCAATGGCAAGCTGTTTAATTTCTTGCAATCGGTTACACTTTTTGATCCCATTCCCTCGTGAACCTTGCCTCTCAGGTTGAGAAGATAAAAGCAGCCTCGGGTCTGAGAGGCCGGGTGGGGGTCTGTGGGTGGCAGCGAATCCGGATATCACATTCCCCTGGTGAGGGAGGTCTGCTACCGGGAGGATTAAGTCCCCCGGGTTCCTTTTAATGAGATCTCCGAGCACTTGTGACACTGGCAGGCACTGAGGCTGCGGAAATGGGGCGGGGTTGGTGGTGGTGGGTGGGTTGGGGGGGGGGGACTGCTGCTCGCCTTCATTCACCCAGCGCACCGCACCGGCTGGAGTGGCGGTGTCAGCGCCCAGACTGGGGGCGGAAGAGGATCTGGAGCCGAGGCCGCCCCAAGGGCGCAGGGAGGGTCCCTCCTTTGCCTCCCTTCACCCTCTTCCCGCCCACCCCATTCTCCTCCACGGGAACCGCTCAGCGGGGCAAAGGAGCCGGCCGCCACCTCTTGGCTGCTCTGGCGGAGAGGTCGGAGCTGGCGGCCGATGGGGGAGGGCGCAAAGCTAGGGTTCCCGGGCCAGGCGCAGCCCGGCCGCGCCGCGCTGCTCTCCATGCAGCACACGTCGGACCCATTTCCCACGCTGGCTTGGCTCCGCGGCCGAGACGGTGGGGATAAGTGGGGAGGGCGGGAAGAGGCTACCTCCCTCTCGCGGAGGAAACCACTCCACTGTGAAGGACGCGCGGCACCCCCGTCCGCCAGGCACCGCGGGAGAAATAGACGCAGCGCCAGGGAAGAGTCATCCCCTCTCCCCCCCTCCGCCAAGAGCGGCGGGAAAAATGCTTGAAGAGGCCAGGGGAGGGGGTTATTCAAGTTTATGGTCTGGCAAGGGAAGAGGCAGTGCATAATTTGTTCCTGCCCACGCGACTGCCTGAAGTTTGCAAAATTCTAGTAAGGCGAGGAGCGGAGGGGGGGGGGTGCAGCGCGCCGCCGCACCGACACGCATCGGAATGCAGGGCGCAAAGCCTCGTAGTGGACATGGCGTCCCCCATCCCCCCCACCCCCCGCCCCGGCTTCCCATTTCAGTCTGGATCAGGAGAAAGCGGGCATTCAGATAAACCCCCATTCTTCCCAAATGTAAGGGGGACATCGCGTTACTGCCACTTCGCCGGCCGCTGAGGCGCTGCGGCGCCAGCCCCCCGCCTCCAGACTGCGGCTGTGAGCACTGAGCCTGCGCGCCAGGCTTTTTCTCGCTGATGCTGCAGATAGGGAGCAGCGAGCTCCGGTGGCGGCGGCCTTGGTGGCGGGAGGGTTATGGGGAAGGCCTTTCAGTGGGTGGAGGAGGAGCCACCCCTCCCGGGAAGATGCTGCTTTATGGGACAGGAAAATACTCGCTAGCTCCCTGGCACACACTACTCACAGCTCGGTCCCCTGTGCTTCCACGCCCCTCCCCTTGGAAGCCTGTGCCGCCCCCCAACACCACCACAGTCCTCTGCTCGCCCAAATAGCCGCGCGCTTCCTGTGCTCCTAGACTTTATTGGTATTTGCCTTGTTTAAACCATTCAGCCTCCTCTCTCCGGTCTCACAAAGGACAAAATTGATGTTGTGAGCCTTGGGTAGGGGTGAGGGTGGGAGCGTCTGTTTAAATTTGTTTTTTTTGGGAGGTCTTTAAATTCCCAGATTAGTCAAACCCCAGCAAACAGTCTTCGAGATAGTAGGGACGTCCAAATACCACCTACCAGCCTCACCCTTCCTAATCTTTAGGGAGAGGGGCTTTCCTTTGACACTCTTTGAAATAAATGAGGAGTGAGTGGCTTCCGTTCTTAAAAAAAAAAAAAAAAAGCAAAACAAAAACAAAAAAATCCCACCACCAGTCCTGAAGTCTGCCTGTGCAGACTGCGGTGGTCATGACTGAGGACTGGGAAAGCCTCCCGCCTGCCGGGGAATGGCAGGGGCTGTCACGAGGCCGAAAGTCAAAAAGGAGAGAAAAGACGTTAAGCATACTCGGGTACACAAAGTTGCCATTGAAGTTTATTTCCCTTACATCCAGATAGGTGACGCTACACTTTGCCAGTTACTCAAGGCTGCGGGTTCTGCTCAGAAAAATAATATTCAGGCGTCTAGCATGTGTTTTATTCCCCCAGGCGCGTGCACACACGGTCTATCCCCCCCTCAACCCCCCAGTGAAAGCCGGATGACAGGAATTCCAAGCATTTAAACAAAGGCAGGCATTCTCCCCGCCCCAACCTAGACCTCCAAAGTCTGTGCTCCAAAAAAGGATGCTCTCCTGCTCTCACTGGAGTTTGGTTTTCTCTCAACACTACTGCAGCCGGTCACGGTTTTGCAGAACAGAAGCCTGGCTTTCGGGGCGCAGACGCGGTCCTCAGCCTACCAGTGGCAACGCACTAACCCAGATGCTCAACTGCGAAGCGAAGACACGTTGGGGGTGGGAGGAATACATCGTCTGAGGGTGGACGTAGGAAGAAGGTATACTAACAGCCTCACTACAGCTCTTCCCCACGCAGCCGGATTTAGTCGACGCAGAAAATCTACCATTCCTAGAGGGGAAAAGCAATGAGCCCCCTCCCCAGACTGGCTAAGCTTAAAGAGGCAGAGATTGGGCATTGCCCTGCCGGCCCTGGGAACTGAAGCCGGGCTTCTCTGTGAGCGCCGCGGCTGGCTGGCTGGCTCTTCCTCCCGCCTCCCTACCCGGGTCCTCCTCCCTCCCCGGCTCTCTGCAACTGTGTAGTTTCAGAAACCGCCACCGCCGCTGCAGCGTCGCGGACAAGCCTGGGTCCGGAGCCCGGAGCCCGCGAGCTTGGCGCAGCCACCGCCACTTTGTGCAAACTTGCGGGTTTCCGGCTCGCGGGTGGAGAGGAGTCGGAGCTTCCCCGTGGCGATCCCGTGTCTCGGAGCACCCGCCGCGGGAGAGGCTGCGGGAGCGCGCGCACCAGACTCTCCCAGACGCGAAAGCGGACGAGACAACTGCGGAATTCACCCGCCGCGCCAGGGCACTTCCGAGACAGCAAGCGACTGGCACTTTCTCTCCCTTTAGCAAACTAGATTTTTTTTTCTCTCCCTTAAGCTACTTGGCAGCTCTGTTTGACTCCCCCTCCCCCTCCACCCCCGCCTCAGTTGCCTTTGGCTTTTCTTTGGAAACCCCGGACAGAATTGGGCATCTTTGTTTAATTGCGGTTAGGAGTGCCCGGGCCGTGCGTTTTTCACCGGGCCAGCGTCGCGGGTGCACGGAGCCAGGCTTGCTCACCTTTGAACTGCAAAGGGATCAAGTTCAGCTCCCCGCATTGAGACTGGAAGAAGCTGAGAGACTGAGCCGGAGAGAGAGAGGAGTGGGGGGGGGGAGGGAAGGGGGAAAGGAGAGGAGGGAGGAGAGAGAAGGGGAGGGAGGAGAGAAAGAAGGAGGGAGGGAGGGGAGGGATCGAGAGAGAGCGCGGAGAGAGAGAGGGAGAGAGGGAGGGAGGCTGCAATCTCCTCCCTGAATCGCGCACAGCGCTGCAGATCCCACTACTCCAACACGCGGGCCGAATGCAGGTGAGGGAAGGCACGGACTCTGCGGCTGGGAATCCAAACTTGGGCGCCGCGCGGTGCGCACGGCTCGGCTCCAGCCCCCGCGGGCGAACGGCTGCTGCGGTTTCTTTCAGGCGGCGGCTTCGTGACTAATGACCTTGCGCAGAGTTGTTAAGAAAAAGAGAGAAACCCGAGCTCTCCTCCCGGGTGAGGAGCGAGCGACTCCGGGCGTCTCTGAAGATGGCTCGGGCTGCTCTTTGGCGCGCCGGGGGCACCGGGTCGCGGGCCGACGAGCTGTGACGCGAGGCGTCTTCGCTGCACCTTGCCCGGAGCGACCTGCCGTGGAATTTTTCATTCAAGATACGCCGAGTGGCTTCCCCGCTGCTTAAGAGGAGTCGGAGTTGAGACCGGGCTTGTCGTCGCTGGCCCCGGAGCCTCGTTGCAAGACGCGGCTCACGGTTGTCTGGACCTCCGGAGCCTGGACTGAGAGACTGGGTCTGGAGTGAGTGGCTGCACCGGGAATCGGACTTTAACTCGAGTAGCCCGGCTGACAGGCGGGGAAGGCTGCAGGTTTGCTCCTCTCGGCTCGCACGCTGCACAGCCCGCTCCCCGAAGCGGTTCCGGGCCCCTTCCCGGGGCTCGGGGGGCTGCTGCGTCTCAGGATCTTCCCGCCTCGGGGATGACTTTGTGTGTGTGTGTGTGGGACCACAGCCCGTGGCGCTCAGTGTCCCGTGAACTGTAAGTAGTGGCGAGTGAACGGTGGCTGGCGAGCGGGCGATTAGCACCCGTTGCATGAATTATGAAACAATAACTTTCGGAAGAAGCAGGAGGAGGAGAAAAAAAAGAGAGAGAAGCATCCGTAGCCGCCACTACCACCGCCACCACCAGCAGCACCAGCAGCCTCCAAATCGGCCGACTCCACACGCTACTCTGGCCCCCTCCCTCCTTCCCTCCCTCCCTCCCCTCCCTCTCGTTTCTTCCTTTCCCGGAGAGGAGGACCGAGGGGAGGGCAGGCGGCCAGCCCCGGAGGAGGGGGGGTGCCGTGCCGAGGGGGCCTGTGGTCAGAAGGAGCAGTAGCAGCAGCAGCAAGAGAAGATGCTGAGGATGCGGACCACGGGATGGGCGCGCGGCTGGTGCTCGGGCTGCTGCCTCCTCCTCCTGCCGCTCTGCCTCAGCCTGGCCGCCGCCAAGCAACTGCTCCGGTACCGGCTGGCGGAGGAGGGCCCCGCCGACGTGCGGATCGGCAACGTGGCCTCGGACCTGGGCATCGTGACCGGCTCTGGCGAGGTGACTTTCAGCCTGGAGTCTGGCTCCGAGTACCTGAAGATTGACAACCTCACGGGCGAGCTGAGCACCAGCGAGCGGCGCATCGACCGGGAGAAGCTGCCCCAGTGTCAGATGATCTTCGACGAGAACGAGTGTTTCCTGGACTTCGAGGTGTCGGTGATAGGGCCCTCGCAGAGCTGGGTGGACCTGTTCGAGGGTCGGGTCATCGTGCTGGACATCAACGACAACACGCCCACCTTCCCGTCCCCGGTGCTCACGCTCACGGTGGAGGAGAACAGGCCTGTAGGGACGCTCTACCTGCTGCCCACGGCCACCGACCGTGACTTCGGACGCAATGGCATCGAGCGCTACGAGCTGCTCCAGGAGCCCGGGGGTGGCGGCGGCGGCGGCGGGGAAGGAAGGCGTTCGGGGCCGGCGGACAGCGCCCCCTACCCAGGGGGCGGCGGGAACGGCGCGAGCGGCGGCGGCGCTGGCGGCGGCTCTGCGGGCTCCAAGCGGCGGCTGGAGGCGCCCGAGGGCGGCGGCGGGACGGGTCCCGGGGGCCGGAGCAGTGTGTTTGAGCTGCAGGTGGCCGACACCCCAGACGGCGAGAAACAGCCGCAGCTGATAGTGAAGGGGGCGCTGGACCGCGAGCAGCGGGACTCCTACGAGCTGACCCTCCGAGTGCGCGACGGGGGCGACCCACCTCGCTCCTCGCAGGCCATCCTGAGGGTGCTCATCACCGACGTGAACGACAACAGCCCCCGCTTCGAGAAGAGCGTGTACGAGGCAGACCTGGCTGAGAACAGCGCCCCGGGCACCCCCATCCTGCAGCTGCGCGCCGCCGATTTGGACGTGGGGGTCAACGGACAGATCGAGTACGTATTCGGGGCCGCCACGGAGTCGGTGAGGAGGCTGCTGCGCCTGGATGAAACGTCGGGCTGGCTCAGCGTCCTGCACCGGATTGACCGCGAGGAAGTGAATCAGCTGCGATTCACAGTCATGGCCCGTGACCGCGGGCAGCCCCCCAAGACCGACAAGGCCACCGTGGTCCTCAACATCAAAGACGAGAACGACAACGTCCCTTCCATCGAGATCCGCAAGATAGGGCGCATCCCACTTAAGGACGGGGTGGCCAACGTGGCCGAGGACGTCCTGGTGGACACCCCAATCGCCCTGGTGCAGGTGTCCGACCGAGACCAAGGCGAGAACGGGGTAGTCACCTGCACTGTAGTGGGCGATGTGCCTTTCCAGCTGAAGCCAGCCAGCGACACGGAGGGCGACCAGAACAAGAAAAAGTACTTCCTGCACACGTCGGCCCCGCTGGACTATGAGACCACCCGGGAATTCAACGTGGTCATAGTAGCCGTGGACTCCGGCAGTCCCAGCCTCTCCAGCAACAATTCCTTGGTGGTCAAGGTGGGAGACACGAACGACAACCCTCCGGTCTTTGGTCAGTCTGTGGTTGAGGTTTACTTTCCAGAGAACAACGTTCCTGGTCAGAGGGTAGCCACGGTGCTGGCCACAGATGCTGACAGTGGGAAGAATGCAGAGATTGCCTACTCTCTGGACTCCTCGGTGATGGGGACGTTTGCCATTGATCCCGATTCTGGGGACATCCTGGTCAATACAGTACTGGACCGGGAGCAGACTGACAGGTATGAGTTTAAAGTTAATGCCAAAGACAAAGGCATCCCCGTGCTGCAGGGCAGTACCACGGTGATTGTACAGGTTGCTGATAAAAATGACAACGACCCTAAGTTTATGCAGGATGTCTTCACCTTTTACGTGAAGGAAAACTTGCAACCCAACAGCCCTGTGGGCATGGTCACCGTGATGGATGCTGACAAGGGGCGGAATGCAGAAATGAGCCTGTACATAGAGGAGAACAGTAACATTTTTTCTATTGAAAACGACACGGGGACCATTTACTCCACAATGTCTTTCGACAGGGAGCATCAGACTACATACACTTTCAGAGTGAAGGCTGTGGACGGGGGCGACCCTCCCAGGTCGGCCACAGCCACGGTCTCCCTCTTTGTGATGGATGAAAATGACAATGCTCCCACAGTTACCCTTCCCAGAAACATTTCCTACACGTTGCTGCCACCTTCAAGTAATGTCAGGACGGTTGTAGCCACGGTGTTGGCAACAGACAGTGATGATGGCATCAATGCAGACTTGAACTACAGCATTGTGGGAGGGAACCCTTTCAAGCTGTTCGAGATTGACCCTTCCAGTGGCGTGGTTTCTTTAGTAGGAAAACTCACCCAAAAGCATTATGGCTTGCATAGGCTGGTTGTGCAAGTGAATGACAGTGGTCAACCTTCCCAGTCCACGACGACTTTGGTGCATGTGTTTGTCAATGAAAGCGTTTCCAACGCAACTGTGATCGACTCTCAGATAGTCAGAAGTTTGCACACCCCACTCACCCAGGATATAGCCGGAGACCCAAGCTATGAAATTAGCAAACAGAGACTCAGTATTGTCATTGGGGTGGTTGCTGGCATTATGACAGTGATTCTGATCATTTTAATTGTCATGATGGCGAGATACTGCAGGTCCAAAAGTAAAAATGGCTACGAAGCCGGCAAAAAAGACCATGAAGACTTCTTTACACCCCAGCAGCATGACAAGTCTAAGAAGCCTAAAAAGGACAAGAAAAACAAAAAATCCAAGCAGCCACTCTACAGCAGTATTGTCACTGTCGAAGCCTCCAAACCAAATGGACAAAGGTACGACAGTGTCAACGAGAAGCTGTCAGACAGCCCAAGCATGGGCCGGTACAGATCTGTTAACGGTGGGCCTGGTAGCCCCGACCTGGCAAGGCATTACAAATCCAGTTCCCCGTTGCCTACTGTTCAGCTGCACCCCCAGTCTCCAACTGCAGGGAAAAAACATCAGGCTGTACAAGATCTACCACCAGCCAACACATTTGTGGGAGCAGGAGACAACATTTCAATTGGATCAGATCACTGCTCCGAGTACAGCTGTCAAACCAGTAACAAGTACAGCAAACAGGTAAGGTGTACCCCAGATACATTCACATATCCCATCTAGGAGGCCCGATCACTTGGAAACAGAGCAGCTTCTGCGAGGTTGTGTCTTCCCTTAATGACAGTCCTCTGGTTTTGAACCCAGGAGTTTAATGTTCATCTATATGCCATTCATGTACCAGAGGCCCTTATAGGACAGATGTGTGCTCCCTGTTAGTTTGCAAGCTTGACCTTAGGTTCATAAGGCCTGAGGGACCTGGAGTGTTTTGTGCCTCTCTGTGCACTTGGCAGCCTTGGCTCACTCATATTCTATGTTTACAGGGTAAATGTGTATGTATATCATATTGGGAGAGTCCTGGGTGAAAATGTTCTAGAGTAACTCCTGGTGGCCGTGCTAATTGGGCAATGAAAGTTTTAAGTGTCTCATGAATCATGCAGGGTTTTTAACCAGTCAGCAGACAGTGATTCATAGAAATGAAGAGCCAAGTCAAAAATCTGGAAACCCTGACACACTGACTTGATGTGATTAAAACCATGGCTTAAAAGTACCCAGTGATAAGCAAGTGTCATTCATAGTTGCATCTTTAAATTCTTTGTATCTGTAACAACCTGTATTTATAATGAATAGGCTCCTATGCCGATAGGAACTCAGCACTTGAGTTCTTCATAGTGAATATCCCAAAGCTTATGAACAAAATTAGTTTGTACTGAGTGCCATATATTTGTGGGTGTTTTGGGGGATACACTAGAAATGCAAAGGTTATGTCTGTTACTTTGTGTGCTATTTGATATAGCTATTTCCAGGCATGATTTGGAAACAGTAATATAGATAGATAGATAGATAGATAGATAGATAGATAGATAGATAGATAGATAGATAGATGGAGAGATGGGAATTTCTGAACATACCAGTTCATTTTTTGCTTTGCTTGTGCAGTGTGTTTTATGAAGAACTCCACTTTCTATGCCCACAAAAGTTTGACACACAGCAAATAAAACCTTTGGAAGCTGCTCAGGTGCTGCCAAAAACCCTGCTAAGAATGCATCTCATGTTTTTTATGGCCAAAAAGTCCCCTTAAGAAGTACATTGATAACCTGTTAGAGGATCCCCAGTACCAGTCTTCCGGTCTTTATTATTCATGTTACAATAACCTGGTGGTTTTCCTACTAGATATGTTTTGCATGTAGAATGCTTCCTCTGAGAAGAATTAAGGCGAAGGGGAAAGTTGTCATATTGTTTCATCCAATGTTATGGAGAGCAGTATTAATTTCCCATAGCTTTCATCCTTATTAAAATATTTCTACATGTGCAATTTTACTTTGGAGAGGAAGAAGCAGAAAGCAATAACGAATATAGGTTTGAACTACTACATATGAAATCACTTTTGAAAATAGGTCTTGGAGTGCATGTGAGCTTGCGTTATTTATTTATTTGAAATCACAGTTTGATATTGTGGAGAGTTTGTGTACATCTGTTGTGTTATTGCTTACCTGGAGTTAAAAGCAGGTGTGTTTTGGCCTGGTGTTTAATGCCTTCATCTGTTTTGTAAATAAGGATGGATACTCTAACGAAAATGTAGCACTTTTTTTTTTTTTCTTTTTTTAAGTATTGTTTACATACAAGTACAACTAAACTGAAGTCTGGTAACTTCCCTAGAAAAGGACAACACTAGTGATTTTGTGCTATGGTCAAGTGGTATTTGTATTCTAAGTCGGTTAATTGTATGCCTTTGAATGGATACATAAGGTGGAAAACTTAGGCAAAGACCACATGAAGTCTGCCTTGTAACTTAGCTCTCTGTTCTTGAATTTAAAAAAAAAAAAAAATCTAAGGTTAAGACAGTTGGCATGCTGTTTTGAAAAGCAAAGTGATATGCTCATAAATTAACTAATGTATGGTATTTGTCTTTTAATTCAATCATCAAGTCCATTTACCAAAAAAGAAAAGCCACAAAGTGAGTGTAATGAAGCACTCAGCTTGCCAAAGGTGACTTTGGAAAACTTGCATGCCATTAGGTATTCCAAAGATGTATAAAGTTTTAACCACAAGTAAATAGCTGACCTGCAATAAAATAAAAGCAAATGAAACACCCCCCATGTAATTAGTAATCCTAATTGATACGCTTCATCTGTTCAGTATTGCTGTCAGGAGACCAGAGATTCATTTCAAAGTTACGTTGTACCACCTGACATGAAGCATTCAGCTTGGTCCAGATTCTTGGTTGTATCACTGTGTAGCTACTTTTCCAGTTTTACTCCCAAAAGATTTAGTCTTCACAGAACTAGGACATGTTTTGTTTTATTAAACTTCAATTTTTAAATACACGGAGGATTTTGCTGTTTTCCTCCCTCGACAAATGAATTTAGCTAAAAGTTGAGACTTTTATTCTTTCAATTTAGTAGATATAAGACTTTTTTTTTTTTTTTTTTTTTTTTTTTTGCTATTCCTTAGGGAACAGTTTAAAATGTGAGATTTCACATGCCACAGTGCCTTCATTATATTTATTTCTCTGAACTGTCTTATCATACTCCTCTGTGTTGATAAAGTGGAAATGGTATTTCAGAGTTTTGGAAGTGTGTCTCTTAAGTGATATTATAGGGCGTGCAGTGTAATAAGCCTAGGGTTCCCTAAAAAAGCTTGTAAATAATGCTTACACTCCTTCCCCTCCCCCATTTTTTTGTTGTTGGTTGGTTTCCCAGGCTCTAGGGACATCCTCTTCAAGCACCCCTTGATACTTTGACAAACTGTAGAGGGGGTGGACATCATTTTTCAGATTCACACATTGAAATGCAGAGGATGGGACCTATGGGACCTGGGTTTTCATAGTTCAGACTTTTGCAATGCAAATGAAAGCCTGGGGCACCCGACACCAACACCTCATGTTTACTTAAGCAAAGTGAAGCTCATCCACACCACTTCTGAGATTGTCCCCCTGACATTTAGTTCTCCAGTTGCTTAGCAAACTTGATGTTTGTTTTTAGTCCTGTGGCCTAAAAGGACAACTGTATATTGAATTTATAGAGAAAAGGAAAATGCATGCTAAACAACTTCAACAAAATGGCAAAAATTAATGAATTACAGATGTAGAGTTAGCCCTTCTCTTGCTATCCTAAACTCCTATTGAGTTTGTCACTTGGTGTGTTGTTTTTTAACATAATGAACAACTGAACTTACAGAAAAGTTGACTGTGATATTGGAAGCAAATGGGTAGTTTCCCATTATTATCAGAGTGCTACATTTTATGAAAATTAACCATTAACTTGCTTGTGTAGCAGCACATATATTTTAGCAGTAACATGTCTGCAAAGTGATGTCACCTCCCCTCAGCTTCCTGTTTAATTATCCAGGACAAAATGTCTGCAAGATGGTTCACCTACCTGGCTATAGCCAGGAACTCTGTCTTGAAGCTCAGAGAATCTGCCTATATTTCTCTTGGCAGAGGCCAGATAACTACTAGGAGAGGGACATTAACAAAACAACATCACCTGGATCTTTAGTGAGTGAGGAATATAGAAAACTTATCTCCAGTTATGTGGTCTATGGCTGATGTGCAACTTTAGAGGAAAGTTTAATAGGAAGTTTAAAAGTTTTATAGGAATGATTAATGATAGGAATAGGGAAAGTATCCACAATCTATCACAAGATTTCTTTCTGTTTACACTCAAAGCACATACGTCAATAACTTACTATTTGTGTTAATGTCCATTCACTCATGTGTTCACCATACTTCATTGTTAAACTTACCAAAAGAGAAATAAAAGCACGCGAGTCCACAGCCTACTGCCTGTACCTGAAATCATGAGAATTATCACATTTTAGGATGAAAAAATACTACCTCACCATTTCTCCCAATTTATAGGGGGAAAAAAAAAAGACCCAGCTTGAAAAATTAATCTGATTGGGGTCACAAAATTATTAGAGATATCTCGTAGACCAGGGGTCTCTCATTAACCATTACATTTTTAGAGGGAAAAACACCGCTGAATCATAGTGAGTTTCTGTGTAGAATGCAGTAGTGTCATTAATCTGTTTAAATTTACTTATGTCCTTGCTAATATATTTGGCCATATTAGGCCTCTTTACAGTAGAGGATGACTCTGCCCTGAGCCCCAGGTCTGAAGTGTAAAACTATCAGTGAATTTGTAATTCAGAGCTTACTGATTTTAACAAGAATTCATAATTCCTCCTGTGCAAGGAAGCAATTGATGTTGTACATTAAACAAAATTAATGTGTCTTTGCTTAGGATAGGCTCAGAAAGACAACTGATAGCATTTTAAGTTTAGCACAATCTTAACAACACCCGTAAGTTCTTGTCTTCATTACCATTTAGCATATCTTCACTAGAAAGGCATTCTATTTGGAAAAAAAATATATTCTCAGTATTGTACATGACACATTCTATATATTCTCACTGAAGTAATTGCTTAATTTTCTCATCAATAGTGAGAACCCCTTTCTAGGTTCCTTTATGTTGTATTATGCATCCTAAACATACAATGCCACTCTGTTTTGAGTTCCCTCCCAGTTTTTTTTTTCTAGCAAGTTTCATAGACAAGTGAGAGATTTTTTGATGGTTTTTCAGTAGGAAAAATAAGTTTTTTGTGTCAATCCACATGGTAGACTGTAAATTTGCATAGGCATCATATATACAGTGTATGATTTACTAATTTCAATGGCTCTTATCCATCGTTTGGCCACAGAATCGTCTGGATTCGAGTCATCGACCCCATTGTTGGGGATGGTGATGGGGGTAGACATTGTGTAGCCAGTGTTGCTTTACATGTAATGCACATAACCATTTTCTAGACTAGGACAAGTTCTTCATTTGTTTAATTGATGTGGCTCTGTACAGAGAGCAAAAGCTGCCTGTTGGTGGTGGCACATGCCTTTAAATCCCAGCCCTTGGGAAGCAGAGGCAGGCCAGTTTCTGAGGTTGAGGCCAGCCTGGTCTACAGAGCTAGTTCTAGGACAACCATAGTTACTTACATAGAGGGAACCCTGCGTGTGGGTGGGGTGGAGTGCA